TCGTTTTGCTATATGAACGATATCGCGTCTCATCGGTCGCGGATTTACAGATTTCGCGATGACGTTTTAACGCTTCGATAGGTATAATTTCACAAATACTACGCACTTTTTACTCGGCACGTCTCGTTACACGTCTTGTTTTGAGATAAGAACGACGTATCCTTCTTGTTCGTGAGATGGGCCTGTTCTTCTTACATATCGTGCTCGGTATATTATATCGGACGTTGTATACCGATGCTTGAACTAGATCACCGTGCCTTTCTTCTTGCCTGCTGAATTATTAGGGCTGTAATAAGGCATAGTTTTCCATTTCTCAGATCGGTGGGTCCCACGATTACTTTAATTATTATACGCTACCGTTAATTGCGGGAGCTTCGCACCGATGGTCTTGATTGGTAGACGCTGGGATACATCGAAAATATAAATATTGATAATCCAACTTTTGCTGTTTTGCGCATGATTAATTAATGGTTAATTAATAATAAATATAAAACATATCGTAAGGTGTTTTCGTAAGTATATTTTAAAACAAAAATATATTTTAATTAGAAAGGATAGAAAAATAGAATAAATGAAACAACAAGTGGGAAAACTTGTGAAGCTTGTAAAATAAATTCATAAAATAAATTAGTAAGAGAGTCCAGCGCGATTTCTAATGCGTAGTTACATTTAATAAAAGCTAGAAAAGTCAATACAAAAGTTTGAAAGTTTGAAAGTCTTCGGTTTTGATGTTCTTTCTTTAGCGACATAACGTTTCAAAGACAAACCGAAATGTTCAAACCTTCAAACTTTTTTATTATTGACTCTTTTAATTTTTATTAAATGTAACTGCGCGCTAAAAACCGCGCTTGATTTTTATTAGTCCATTTTAATTGATAGATACATAAAAGTTGTATTAAAATATAATCGATCGCTAATGATGACAATTGTATTTTTTTTTCCATCGCGTCTTTTTAAATTATCGATCTTTTCAAATCCACCCGCGTATAAAGATCAAACGATGATCTCAAGAAAGGAGGTCGATTATTATACGGAGATTATATTTGCTAATCGTCCAAGTTTCGAAAGAAGGACAATCAACTTGCAATGACCGTAAGCGTAACGTCGTTGCACGTATAACTGTTAATTTTCTATCGAAAATTTCACGCACGGTTACGCAGGTGGCTCATCGTCACACGCAGTGAAAACGGATTGGACTAAATTGCGTTAACATTTCCGGATGGACAAGCGCCGCTTTCGCAATTTTTCTTTTGCAAGATGCGCAACACGGGTGGTAAATCGTGATTGACGTGCGAGTTAAACGATAGTTCATACGATAGTTCATAATTTGCGATGTGATAGGAAACGTGATCGCGGAGTTGCGTGTCTCTCCTTTCTAGAATCGCGTGGGAGACGCTATCGTCGGTACCCGATCGACGAATTAATTACGGTTGAATAATGAATCAACGACGAAGCTGCGAACACGATCCAGAATAGATATAAGAGCGTCATCCATAAGAGCGTCATCCATGGAGATCTCGAGTCTCCGCGACGTCCTCTCACGCATCGGTGGCCGGCGCGTAGGTCAAATTGCGTAGGTCGCCTGGTCGCGTCGGCTGTCTGGAAAAAAAAAAAAAAAAAAAGAGAGAGAGAAAGAGAAAAACAGAGTCTCGTCCTCAAGGATGTTTTTCGACTGTCGTGATCATCTTGGCGGTTAGTCACCTTTCGGTATCGTGAAATCGCGGGATCTCGGGAACTCGCGTGGGATAATAGGCGGTGAGGCTCGGATCGCGAATTGAATCACTGATGTAATCGCTTCTGCTTAATCATAAGCAACGGGCCCGTTTCCAAGGGCCCGTTTAACTATTCGATCGCGAGAGATTCTCGCGGAGAAGCAATCGCGACCTCGGAGCAATCGCGATCTCGGAGCAATCGCGATCTTGAAGCAATCGCGATCATTTGAGGCAACTGCGCGATTTTACTTTATTAAATGCGTTAAGCCGCACGGTTATCGGCCTATCGATCTGTTGCGTTTACGCGATTAACTAGGGGAGTTCACGCAGCGAAAACTTTCCCACATTTTACACGGGACGCGCGTTGCATCACGGACTGACTAATTTGAAATGTTCACCCCCTTAAAAATAAAGGGTATTACGCGTTTGCGCTTTGTCCATTAAACAAATATCACTCAGTAATGCCTTATGTAACGCGGTAACAAATGAAACACCGATTACCCGACGTAACTTACTCTTTATTTACAAAGGAGATTGTACTATATGCAATTCTTATACGCAATTTGTATTTCCTCACATAGAATTCATCGTTTATATTATTTGTTTCAATTGTTATGTAATTAGAAAAATATAACAATCGTGAGAAATGTTAAATAGATTTCTTTTCCTTTGTGTTCAAGCAGGAAATAAAATGATATTACTGCTATTATTGTTGGGCGCGATCGTGTGCACGATGGGCGGCTACGTGCCACCTGGGCCAAGATTTAGATGTCCCAAAGACGCGATTTACATTTACCCCTGTACCTGTCTTCGCGGCAGTGATAGAGGTTTATACATTCAGTGTGAAAATACAAATCTAGCCAGTCTCAGCCTTGCCTTCACGAATCTGGGAAACGAGGGCATGCCGATTGAGGAACTGGTTCTGTATAAATGTAACATAGGTAAGTCAATTTAATAAACCAAATCGTAGAAAAGGTAAAAAAAAACATGTTATGGCTAACATACTTGACTGAAAGATATCGAGCTTTTTTCGAGATAACTCACGGACAAATAGATAATTCCAGTTTTTGCGAATTCGCAGTACGATTTTACGGACCTGCTCTGTACCCGTTGGATGTGCGGATGTTGAAGTTTATAGATACACCACTAAGATTGATCGAGGAGCACAGCTTCCTCGGCGTGAATCGAACTCTTCAGGAGCTCTATGTGATAAACAGCAACCTGGAAAAATTTCCTCGCGAGGCACTACAGATCCTAGGCAATCTCAGCTTGTTGAGCATCACGGGCCACCGGATATCTACTTTACCGGGAAATAGTTTCGGTGAAAGCGCGGCGGCTGCGAAGCTAGAAAAATTGGAGATTAGTAATGGTAATCATAATTATAATCTTGTCGCAAGGTATCATCAAGGTGGGAAATCGCCATCTCATTTACCTCAGACCATTTACGTCAGATCTTAAAAGCAGTATAATTTCATGAATCCGATTTTTTTATACTATATGTAAAAAATATAATCTTATTTAAATATAAATTGTTTATATAATATTTTTAAATATATATATCTATATAAAACATCTTATAATTATAAAACATTAAATTATAATGTTTTTAATTAATATTTTGTAATATTTTTCAGGTACGCTCTCTTCCCTTCCTGTGGAAGCATTAACGCCACTGAAGAAACTGAAAACTCTTGATCTTCACGACAACAAGATAAAAGAACTGAAGAGGAATCAGTTTAAAGGTTTAAGAGACACCGAGTTTTTGGATATCTCTTACAATTTGATCGATAAATTGGACGCATCTCATTTGGCTGATCTCGTCAAGATGGGATGGTGCAACATGTCGCATAACGCCATCGCCGATTTGAAAAGGTTGAAGAAAATAGTCAATAGTCAATCGAATTTCTGCGACATGGGATATCTAAGATTGCTCTTGTTTTAGAGGAACCTTCGCCCGAAATTCCGTCTTGAAAGTTTTGAATTTGAGCCACAACAAAATCAGAAAATTGGATTCGAATACTTTTCGCGGCATGCGTTTTCTCAGACGATTGTATTTGAGTGACAATCAAATCAACGACGTGGGTCGTGGAACTTTTGGTTCCGTTACCAGAATTGGCACCATCGATCTTTCTCGAAACTTTATTAGGAAGATCGACTTCCAAATGTTCAATCAATTGCAATTTGCTGAGGTATAAATAAATTTAAAAACCTTTATATAACTATACAATTCACATAAAAATTTTCTAATCATAAATTCGTCAATAGCTCTTAGATGTTTCGTCTAATTTCGTGACGATCGTGGAGAAACTGGCGTTCAAAGATCTTTATTTAGCAAAAGTGAATCTGTCTCACAATGAGATTTCGAAGATCGAACCAGGCGCTTTTGAGAATTGTGCGAATATCACGTCACTGGATCTCAGCCACAATAAACTTGAAAATATTTCAAAGTATTCCTTCGATAGCACATCGTATGCTATGGAGTTTCAACTCAGTTACAATCTATTTACTTCTCTAAATCAGGTGAACAAAATTTTCTTAAATAATAATAATTGGACCATTCTCATACCGTTTCGTTAAATTAATTAATTAATTCTGTACGTCTATGATGTTAAAAAAATATATATTTTTTGACACAGGTTCCATTGCATAATATGACAGGATTGAAAGTGTTAAACGTTTCTCACAATCTGATACACTCCGTTCCACGACAGACTTTCCCGAAGCTGTACGAGCTTCATACGATTGATCTCTCGTACAATAATTTATCCGAGATTCATAACGCCGTATTTCAGACGCTCTTCAGCTTGCGATTTTTAAACATGTCGCACAATTCTTTGGACAAGATAAAACCATCAACGTTCGGGCCGCTGCCAACGCTTCTGGAACTCGATCTAAGCTACAATCAATTGAACGACGTTGCACGTGGTAGTCTAACTCGATTAGCAAGCTGCAGGTGCATCATTAATTTATGATTAAAATTGATAAATGTTACATCAGTTTATTAAAATTTAAAAATAACATGCCTGTGAAATTTTAGGAGTTTAACGGTAAAAAACAATCGTCTGACGAAGATTTTCCAATTACCAATTTCTCTGGGTCATTTGGACTTCTCGGAGAACTTGCTGGAGGAGATCCCGACCACCGACGTGTGGCCCACGATGAATGCATTACTCTCGTTGGATCTTTCGCGGAATCGGCTGGGCGATAACCTGCAAGAGGGCAGCTTCGAAAACCTGCTGACCTTGAGAACCTTAAACCTGCAAGCGAATAACATGACGAAGCCGCCCTGGCAAGCGCTGGCCGGCCTCACCAGCCTGCAGTATCTCTATCTACAGGTAAGACAAAAGGAATTTTTATAGGGAAATCCACTTCTCGGAGAATCGGTAATCTTCCGGCGGATTTTTACCGACGGAAATATTCCAGGATAATTACTTGACGAAACTGGAAAAAGCCGCCTTCGGCCGTCTGCCGATAGTGTTCGAGCTGAACTTGGCGAACAATAAAATAAGCAACGTGACGAGCCGCGCGTTCGAGGGTCTGCTGCAGCTGTTGACGTTGAATCTGACGAACAACAACATCAGCCACATACCGAACGGCGCGTTCCAGGGTCTGGTATCTCTGCGAACACTCGACCTATCGCACAATAGGCTGGAGAAGCTGGACAATAAGACGAACGGGCTGCTCGACGACTGTCTATCTTTGGAGAGGCTCAACCTCAGCCATAACAAGATATCGTTCATTACCCGGAAGACCTTGCCGAATGATCCATGGATCCCTTATAAACTGAAGGAAGTTGATTTATCCTACAACACAATGCCGGTCGTCACCTTCGATCTCATCGCCGGTGCTAAAAAGATTCAGTACCTGAATCTCTCTCATAATAATATTAATGAGATTAGAAGATGTGAGTAGTAAAATGGGAATATCGCTTTTAATAGCTCCGACAATTAATCGGGTAGTAACGGTTCATCGGCTCATGTTTCCTACTGAAGAATCGTCGTTTATTAGAACATTGCCCTATTCCAGATGTAATCGGGAATTTAACGGCTTTGCAGACTCTGGATCTATCGTACAATGATATAAGCGACCTCTCCGAACGAGACGTCTTTTTACCGCCGTTAAATTTAACCAACTTACACCTGAGTAATAATCATTTGAGCTATTTGCCTCTCGACAAGATTCTACCACTACCGAATCTCAAAGTACTCGATCTGGAAGGAAATGAGATCGGCGTTTTCGATGAAAAGTTCATGAAGATTATTCAGAATGGCACAGTACTCAGATATTCCGGTAACAAAAAATTAAATAATTAAATAATGAAGAATAAGGCGTTTATAATTAAGTCAGTTGAAAAACATTGGAAATTATGTTTATAATAAAATTTTTCTCTATTATTGATATTTAAAAATATATATTTATATCTTGTCTTAGGAAATCCCATGCACTGCGATTGTCACACGCGGCCGCTGAAAAGATGGTTGAAGGCTCAAACGCAACTTCCGTCGGAATGGTCGAATGTGATGTGTGAGAGTCCGAATTATCTCGCGAATAAATTTATCTCGGAGGTAACCGAGGATCTCATGGGCTGTGGCGAGAGAGATATTCAAGAGGAACCCGAACTCGACATCACACCCGATGTGAAATATCGAAGTATCGACTAGTAAGTGATATTTTAGCCGTATATATATCACAAGATTATCATTGTAAATATTTTATTTGGAATTTTCTTACAAATTTCGAAGATCAATTCAATTACGATATTCTTTAGCAATACCGAGGATAAAAGCTGGAAAGCGACGTGGTACGTGACGTCACGCGAAGACATCGGCGACTTCTACGTGGTGGTTCGCGAATCCGGCAGCAGCAAATCCATGATCGAGAAGGATATTGTTTACAGCGAGCGATCCTTCAGGATTCACGATCTGAAGGAGTCGAGTACCAAATATGAACTCTGCGTGCTCGCGCGCGATTCCGAAGGGAACGTCAAACATTATAGAAATTCGCAATGTCAGATTTTGAATCAGCAAAACTCTGGGTCGTCCGCCAACCTCAAGGCGAGCCTGTACTTCGTGATAGTCACCGCTTTCTTCTGCACTCTTATGAGATTTCATTAATCTATCGAAAATAGTATTCACGGTACTTGGGAAGATTACATTCCGCGGAGATAGTAAAGTTTATACGTGATGAAAAGTATTTTCACGTACCGCTAGCTGATTAATGTTTCCGATCGTTCTTCTCTATCTTAGGCATTTATCTACGTCGCGTTGAAGCGCGATGCGATGTGATTGTACAATAAATTAATATATTCCTTGGAAAAAAAAAAAGGTGATACGCTGTGTGCGTTGTACATAGATCGTATTGTATTTCGTTCGGAGGTAGGGACGTTGAACGTCGTGTATTTATTTTTGTAAAATATATACCTTGTACAAGTCACATGTGTGGTTGTCATTTAATGGATGGATTAATCAAAACATTGACACAGATGGAAAAACATATGTAATGATATCGCGGTCAGATATCGCGGTGCAATAATTTACGATTTGTTAAACAAGGGGAACAATTGATCGACGATTAGTAAATAAATCGTATTAATAAGGACCAGCTAATCCCACGATATTAATTCGCCATCGTGTTGCGTAGCCGTTCCGTCCTGTGTGACTAATAAACGCTCGCGACTTGCTGAAAAAATTCTCAAGGAAGTCAGCGGTCTCCCGAGCTTCGCGTAGTAAGATTATTTCATTATCTCGAGAAGAGACCATAATTAGTATCCACTAAAGCATAGCGCGTCTCTGTTGCACTAAAAAAAAAAAAATAAAAAAAGGAAGAAAAAGAAGAGAGAGAGACGGAGGGATCTCTAATGAAGACGAGAAATAGTGGAAGTTGTTGTTTCCGCGAAAGGGGCGCGCCATCGCTATGAATTTATTAGCGTCATTGGAGACGTGCCGATTATGCTCGCTCGCGACAACAACGACGACGACGACGACGATGTTGGTTTTTTTTTATTAATTACTCGCACTTCGTTAACGCCGTCGCGCGCAAATGGCAATTATCGGTTATCCCGCGTGATCACGATATCCCGAGAGAAAGAGACAATGCCCCCGCGCGCACGCGAGTTCGGCGGATTAACGGGAATTTAAATTACACGACGCACGGCGTATTTGATTAATATAGCTTTGGTTGGCACACCGGAAAAAACAATACACACACGCCTCTCGCCGTTCTGCTCGGCGGCCTGCTCAGCGGCCTGCCCCCTCGATCGGGATTAACGTCGGTTTAACGCTTAATTAGCGGAGTATTCCTCGGCAAAAAGGCATCCGATCTCCTGTCTTCGCAGATGCGATTTTATGACAATTACGAATACATCCTTCGAAATCTTGTTAAGATGATTTTATAATTATTGTCCTTATTTATTATGTGAAATAAAAACTATTTTCTCGTATTAACTTTATTGCGCATATTAATTTAGTTCACACAAATTATCGCAAAGTACGATAAGTGTGGAAGTGGAAGTGGAAGCACAAATAAGGAAAGAGAAAAGTATGATTATGACGAATGACAAGGAAAGGAAAAAGGAAATAAAAGATGTGAAGGATATGAAAAAAAGAAAGAAAGATATTAATTGAAAGAATATGATTGTGACGTCAGGTGTGAAAAAACATATAATGTTCCTGGAAAATGCGCTAGAATAAAAATATTTATCAATAAAATAACATTTGCAATTAATACAATGGACAAAAGAATGATCCAAGGTTCTGAAGATAAAACCAATAAATTACAATAATGCGAATATAAGAGCTAGCAACATTAGATGCACATATAAGTCTTATGTGTATTCAATAATGATATAAAATAGAAATAGTCAGCTAATTAAAGTAACAGAATAGATTTGTAAAATATTAATAAATAATTATATATCTAAAGTTGAAGTGATTTTTAATTAAACACAATTCATTTCTAGACATATGATTATTTGTTAATTACTCTAACGAAAGGAGAGTTTCCGATATACTTTACAAATCTATTCTGTGCAATTGCAGACATTATTATTTTTTTTTTTAAATATTTCCATTGTAATGTATATATTTTGCAAGAATTTTTATCATGTTTTCTCGTTTCTGACATCAATCCAGATAGTCGCGGTGAGTCAACAGGAGCCTTAAGAAAAATTTCTGCGTTCCGCCATACGCGCCATACCCGCAAGATATGAGATTTCGTTGCGATATCAATATCTGGTTACGAAACATCTAGTTGGACACTTTCGCCAGAGGTCCAATAATGGTTAAAAGAAGTATCATACACGAACGAACAGGTACGAGCTCTCACGAAGAATCGCGAAGATGATATCCCCCGTGGGCCCGGCGGGAGAGATATCCGCTTGTCTGAACTCTGAAGTTGAAATCCAGAAGACCTCGGGGCTCTTAGGCACAAGTAAATTTACATTTGTCTCTTCCCTCGTCGACAAATTACCGCGACAAACCCGACATTATTGGCTCCCGTCGTAAAAATCGCTGACTCACAGAAGGCAAATATATTTAAATTTTACACGTTTCCCATCGATCGGAAAAAAATTTACGTACCTCACATACCATGACCATCGTGTCACAGCCTTATTCTCTAATTTATTATTAATAGATTAATTTATTCGCATTCGTATGAATATCGTCGTTAGGCTTTTTAATGCCAGTTTTTTATTTCGCCGTCTCGTTCGCCACGAGCGCCCGAACGCATGAATAAAGTAGGCAGAATAAATTTACATACGCCGCTTTGGGCAGTGACTCACGATGCATCCATGTAAGGCCCAGAGCGAGAGGTGCCGTTGGCCCCACACGCCTACGTTTAAGACATCGTCCGCCCGTGCTTCGAAGACAAAGGAGGAAAAAGCAAAGGGGAAAAAAAAAAAAAAATAAGAAGAGAAAAAGAAAGAAACCCAGTCTGTAAAAGGTTCCTCCGCGCGATCGGCTCTCTCGGGACGGACTCTCTCGTCGGAGTCCGTCGGTCGTAAGGGCCAAATCCCCAGCGCCGGGATCTCCTCGCATGCCGTATCTCTCATATATCGGCGCGACCGACAGCGGGACGGAGGGACACGCCTCTATCTAGGATACCTCGATGAATCTTCCTCGGCCTATAAATCAATTAGCGCGCGGGAGATAACTTGTTATATTCTTCCCGCAGTTATTCCAGCCCGCGAGCTTATTCCAGTTATCAGATAATAAGCACACACCGTGAACATATGCAACCGCGAATGCGCACCAACGATTGTACGTACCATTGCATGATCGGTTTGCGGCGGCTGCTACTTTCCCATCCGCATCCCCGTCTCTTTTGTTTCTCGATGACAGTGGCGTACGGGGCCCGTCATGTCCGCTATAAATGATTGGACGTAATTTGACGTTTAGCGTCAAGAAAGAAGGATACGTCGCGCTACGTATTGCGGAAAGAGCGACTTAACTCCGGCAAACGGTCGCGGAGAAAGAGTGCGTTTGTTTGGGTGCGTGTGGTTTTTATTTTTAATCTCTCTCAATACAAATAAAAATGGATAATAAAAAGATAAAAGAAAAAAAACAATATATAATAATATATCGTTGTTATTATTACGACAATTTGTTTGCCACATTGATTATGTTTATTTTCCAAACATGCTTAAGGATCGATTATATAAAAGTACAAAAGATTATTCAAATTAAAAAGAAAACGTATTTCTTAAACTTATACTATTTGAAATATTATGAAAAAATCCGAATAAATAGATTTGGATGACAAAGAAGTTGAAATATAAATAAAATCACATTGTTTTTAACATTTTCATGAGAGAAAATATTTATAATTAACATATTTCCCATAACAACAATTTTTTATTATGAATCAAATCTTTTGAAATTAATCGCAAGAAGCGAGCATAACTAATAATTTATAGGAACAATCTCTGTCTATAAGCTGTTAAATTAATATGAAAATTTAAATAATTTCCAAATCGCTCAAAGAATTGTGCTCATCTTTTTCACAAATATGCAAAAAAATGAAACAACTTTGTAATTTTTACGCTTTTCTTAATATTTCGACATTCATTCTTAAATCTCACAGATTAACTCCTCACTGGAGTCGAGAATGAAAGAAATCGATGTTCCCTGTAATTTACGCCAGTCAGTTTTGTTATTTAATTATAAAACTGTATATAAAATACAGAATACTCTTATTGTGTGTGCGGTAATATTTGATCCACTTCTACGCTACTGGGCGATGCTGATGCAGTCTGGGTCTGCTGGCGGCTCAAACTCTCCCGCCACTCTCTCTCGTTCCGTCAGTGTCTCTCGCGTGTTCGCACGGGGAACATCGCTCTCGCGTCTCCTCCAAGGCCCATTCCGTCGATCCACGGGCTTTCCATTATCGACGAGAATATTCGCGAACGCGAACGTTTCCTCTTTCGCGGACATTGAGACCGCGAAGATCGGTCCCTCGCCCGCGGTCGAGCGCGTTTGGCTAAATGAGACCCCGTCGCGGATAATACGAAAATAAATCGGTCCTCCTCTCTCCCATTTACCTTCTTTCCTCTTCCGCAATCCTTCCTCTTCCCCCCCCTCCCTTTGTTTACCTGTTCCCGACGCATTGCGAGTGCACGATCCGCGGGCGTTTCGTAGTAATTAGGAGAATGGACATGGCCGACGGTTTCTGGAGACTGGCCCTGTGCTGGA